GATCGCCGAGACGATGGACATCGCCGACACTGCGGGCTGCTTCCGCTACTACGGCGGGCTGGCGGACAAGATCGAGGGCAAGACGATCGAGCAGAAGGAGGGCGAGAAGCTGGCGTTTACGCGCTTGGAGCCGCTCGGCGTGTGTGGGCAGATCATCCCGTGGAACTATCCGATCGGCATGCTGGGTTGGAAGGTGGCGCCGGCGCTCGCGGCAGGCAACTGCATCGTGCTCAAGCCCGCGGAGCAGACGCCGCTGAGTGCGCTGCGCATCGCACAGCTCTCCGTCCAGGCCGGCTTGCCCGCGGGGGTGTTCAACGTGGTCAACGGTCTCGGGCCCATCGTGGGCGATGCGATCACGGGCCATATGGATGTCGACAAGGCCGCGTTCACCGGCAGCACCGCCATCGGCCAGCGCGTCATGGAACGCGCCGCGCGCTCCAACCTCAAGAAGGTGACGCTCGAGCTCGGCGGCAAGTCGCCTGTGGTCGTGTTTGACGATGCGGACATCGACCAGGCCGTCAACTGGGCCGCGCTCGGCATCCTGTTCAACCAGGGCCAGGACTGCACCGCCGGCTCGCGCCTCTTTGTCCAAGAGGGCATCTACGACACGTTTGTGCCCAAGCTCGTCGCCGCGTTCCGCGCACACCACATCGGCGACCCGTTCGACAGCAGGACGTTCCAAGGCCCGCAGATCACGCAGCGCCACCAGCAGCGCATCCTCGACTACATCGAGTCCGGCAAGCAGCAGGGCGCCAAGGTCGAGATCGGCGGCGGCCGCTGGACCGAGGGCGCGGGCGAGTTCGCAGGCGGCTTCTACGTCGAGCCGACCATCTTCTCGGGGTGCAAGAAGGGCATGAAGATCGTCGACGAGGAGATCTTTGGGCCCGTGCTCGCCGTCGCCAAGTTCAAAGACGAGGCCGAGGCGATCCAGCTCGCCAACGACACATCGTACGGCTTGGGCGCGGGCGTGTTCAGCACCAACGCGAGCCGGTGCATGCGCGTGAGCGGCGCGATCCAGGCGGGCACCGTGTGGGTCAACAACTACGTGGTGGTCAGCAACGCGGTGCCGTTCGGCGGGTTCAAGGCGAGCGGCATCGGCAGGGAGCTCGGCGTCGACGCGATCAAGGAGTACACGCAGGTCAAGTCGATACACTGGAACTTTGGCGAATCGCTCGACTGGCCTCTCACTGGTTGATTCGAGCCGCACCGCGTTGCTCGCAGAAATGTCAATACTTTGGTCGAATGCCCTTGTCTGAGTTGAGGTGAAAGAGAGGTTACAGCTTGGACCAGTCGATGGTGCCTTGGTCGCCGTAGCGCTGTTTGAGCCAGTCGTTGGCCTTCTTGAAGTGGCCGTTGCCGAGGAAGCCGCGATGCGCAGAGAGCGGCGAGGGATGGGGCGACTTGAGGATGAGGATGTTGGCGTTCTTGTCGGTCACGCCGGCGTCTGCGAGCGTCTTTGCTGCGGGTGTGCCCCATACCAGAAAGACGACGCCTTTGCTTTGCACTTGATCGCTGTCGCCTTCTGCACTCTTCTCTGCTGTCGCCGGTGTCGGCTTATCCTCGCTCGGCGTCTTGTTCTGGACCTTGGCGAACATGGTGGCGATCTTGGAGTTGGCAGTTGCACTCGCGTTCGCCGCCTTGGCAGCGCTCGATCCCGCGGCCTCGTCGGCGATCTTTTTGAGGATATGCCGCGTCAACCCTTCCCATCCTTTGCCGTTGTGGCTGTTGGCCGCGCCGGCCGAGACGGTCAAGCACGCGTTGAGCAGCAGCACGCCCTGGCGCGCCCAGCCGTCGAGGCAGCCGTGGCTCGGCGCGCGGAACGCGGGATACTCGGCCGCCAGCTCCTTGTAGATGTTGCGCAGCGACGGCGGCACGCGCACGCCCTTGGGCACGCTGAACGACAGCCCGCACGCCTGGTTCGGGCCGTGGTACGGGTCTTGGCCCACAACGACGACGCGCACATGGCGAGGGGAGGGGACGAGGCGCGACCACGAGTAGATGAGCTCGCGCGGCGGATACGTCTTCTTGCCTGCTTTGTCTTCGGCTGCAAGGAAGGCTTTGAGGGTGTGCGAGAAGTAGGGCTTGTTCATTTCGGGTTGGAGCAGGTCGAACCAGGAGGGGGACATGGTTTGACGCTCGAGCCACAGCGGGTCCGAGGCGAGGTCGGAGGGCGGTTGCAGTTTGGGCAGAGGTTCTGCTGGGGTGGACGAGGGTGTGGAGAAGAGTGTTGCTTGTTTGAGGGATGGGCGCGGTGTGGAGGCGGAGGAGCGTGACGGAGTCGTCTGTGAGGTGGGAGCGGTGGCCTGCGAGGAAGCCTGATTGGAAGCAGCCGACTCGATCTCTTCCGCAGCAGCGAGCAGAGCTTGGTCGTCCAAATCTTGATCGAGCGCGTCGAACTCGTCCGCCTCTACTGCAGCCGCCTCCGTCTTTGCCCTCTTTGCCGTCACTGCCTGCGCAGCATCCGCAGCGTCTGAAGCCAGCGTATTCGCATCTCGCTTGGAGAGGGTGGTCCGAGTCGTCGTCATGGCGATGCGTTTCGAGAGGAGAGGCGGACGAGTGGTTCGATGGCCGAGTGCGCTGAGCAAGCGCGTGTATCGATGCCAGGCGGCGATGGTGGGCGACAGCGAGAGTGTGACCGGGCAGAAGATCCTGTTGTGCGATGCTCTGCTGTTGTGGCTGCTGCGACTGCCGTGTGGATGATGGTGGACGAGAGAGAGGTGAGAAGCAAACGATGCTGAGTCCATCTTTTGCTCGACAAAACCTCCATACCGACAAGAAAAAAAGGCGCAAACGAAGGCACAAAATCACTCAACGCGGCGCGCCATTTGAGCATCGCGACCACGCGCAGCAGCGGCCAAAAAATGATTTCAGGCTCAGTTTTCTACGCTGAAGCAGAAAGACCAACACTTTTTGTTTTCGCTGACCGTGCACCCAAAAAAGCGATTTTCAAAGTCTCATTTTTCGACTTTCTTTTTTTCGTCAAACACCTTTGCACCCTTTCACCATCCTCACTCACCATGACACTCACATCCTCGACCGACGTCCCACCCGCACAGGGCGACAAGCCTCAGTACCTCATCTTCTTCAGCTCGGGCTCGCCCCCCTGGTGTCCCGATTGCGTCGATGCGCAGCCTGCTGTCGACAAGATGTTTGGCAGCGGCGACGTAGACGGGCACATTGTGCTCGTTGGCCAGAAGCCAGAGTGAGTCGCATCTCAACACCCATTGTGCAAGGATAGACTGTACTGACATTGCTGTTGGCGCGAACACACAGATGGAAGACACCGGAAAACAAGTTCCGCAAAGAATACGCGATCAGGTGCATTCCAACCATCACCAAGGTCGTCGGTGGCAAAGAGGTGGCTCGCTTGGAAGACAGCGAGTGCAAGAGTGTCGAGACTGTCGCTGCGTTTGTCAAAGAGTAGCCTCCAAACAGCACACAAAGCAACGAAGGGTATCTAAACAAATCATTACAATCGACCGACAACGGGAACGCAGAACGGAAGGGAGAGTGTATGCTACATCGAGCGAACAAAGGGCACAGCAGCAGCAACTGCTTTCAATGCTTGAAAAAGCCACCCAATCCACCCGCGCCCCCACCGTGATGACCGCCAGGAGGAGGGCCGTACGGGTTACCGCCATACCCACCACCGCCGTTGTGGTGCTTCTTGTCATCAAACTTCTCGTACACCATCTTGCCGACCTGCGCCAGGATCGCACCGCTCGCCATGGACCCAAACGTGCCCATGTGGCCGCCGGTCATCTTGTTGCCCGCCCAGCCCGCCGCCGCACCCGCCGCCATGGTGCCGATTCCGCGCTCGCCGTCGACGGGGTTGCCGTGCTCGTCGTACTGCGTGGGTCCCTGCTGCTGATGTTGCTGCTGCGGGTACGAAGCGTTGTTGTAGGGAGCCTGGTTCGCGGTGGCAGGGGCACCGTACGGCGAGGGCGAGTTGTAGTTGGATGATGCGTGCGAGTCGTAGCCCGGGGCGCTGTTGTACGACGATGGAGGCGCGCCTGGGTACGAGGACTGCGGGCCGCCGGGGTAGGACGACTGGTGGTAGCCGCCCGACGAGGAGGACGACGAGGCGAGCGGGTCGCCAGGGTACGACGACTGAGGTCCGCCAGGGTACGACGATTGAGGGCCGCCGGGGTACGACGACTGGTTGGGAGCGGGTCCGCCTGGATAGTACGACATTGCTTGTAAGTGGTTGCTTGCGAGTTGGTAGTGTGATGTGAGAGCGGTGACTTGGTGTGTGGGGAAGAGGGGAAAGTGGAAAAGCAAGCGGGACTACTGTACTTATGGGCGAGGGCAAGCGACGTGGAGAGCACGCTGAGCGAGGCGCACACACCCACACAAACGCTTCATCAGCCCAACTCGTCTGTGCGCCAGAGCCGAATCCGAACTGCCAACAAGGCGATGCACCTCTCCTCTCCTCTTGCCGCAGACCCTTGGGCCTCCGGCTGTGTGCACCGGCTCGTTCGGTTGTCGGCGCACTCCTCGTTTACAGCGCAGCAGGGCTGTGTATCCTCTCGACCCAGACCGATGCGAAATGTGGCTTCTATGCGACAGGGTCCAGGCGGCGGAGCGGATGATTTGAGGGCAGGCTGTGCTGCTTGCGCCTGTCAAAATCGAGCAAAGAGTGGCAAAATCAAGGACGAAAATCCAAGCGACTGGGCTGTGTGGCCTTGCTTTCTCAGCCAGAAAATGCGGCCAAGGCGGTGCACGAGCCGGACACGCACGATGACGGCTTGGCACTGCCAAAACAGCCGCACGATATCGACCCTTCGGAAAACAAAAGCGAAAGTGTCGCGATGTACGGCGTAACAAACGAAAAAAAAAAAACAAAAAACAAAAAAAAAAAAACAAAAAAAACGGTTGACGTGAAGACCCTTCAAAGAGCGCACCTCTTCCCATCACAACTCGCCATCGAGCCAGAGCATCCCATCCTCTCCAAGGCTCACTCTGTCACCTGCTTATGATCATGTTGTGCTGGGCATCGCGACTCCGTAGCTCAGTTGGTTAGAGCGCAGCACTGTTACCCTTTCGAGCATTTTGGTGGGCTGGCTAGCTCTCTGCGTTTGCGAGGCGACCAGTCCATCCCTTTGCCCTGCTTTCTCTTTCTCACTTCACTTGTCAAGGAGATGCTGAGGTCGGCGGTTCGAGCCCGCCCGGGGTCGTTACATCCTTTTGGCCTGCGAGACCATCTTTCTCTTTTTGCTGCTCGTGTGGGTTTCATCTGCAGAGACCATGCATCGATGCAGTAGGATGAGCATTTCGACCATGGTCTGACTGCACGGCAGCCGACTTGCATCTTGCATGCATACAGTAGGTCCGCACTTTACGCACTCATGTGGTACCTCGATTTCGGACGGAAGTCTGGAACAGCCACCACGTTCGCATGCGTCGCTACCGTCGCTACCGTCGGCACGCTCGCGCGTTTTGGTCTCCAAACCGTGTGCGCAAGGTTGTCTGAAAGGATACACCGCTTTTTCGATCGTCGCTTGTGCGCAAATTGTAGCATTGTCGACCTTCGTCTTTGTGCAAAGCAAGCTTGAGGTGGTCGGCGGACCCCACCGAGCGAGCTCTGTGCCAACACAATCAGCAGCGCTCGCTGCACAGTGGGCAACAATTGCTCGGACGAGACACCTGTCAACACCCGACAATGCGCTGCAAAGCCCATCTGGTCCGCCTGCCTACAGCTGGCTGCATTTGCCCACCTTGATGGCGTCTCTGTTGCACCACATTGTCGTCCGTCGCTTGGCATCTCGAGCGACGCTGTCGGATTTTTCTCGACTTCATTGTGGCGCTCCCCAGGCGATACACAAGCCTGGCAACCGAGCTGACTGGAGCAGGTGTGTCACTCGGCGGCGTGCGTGGGCGTGGGCAACAGCCAGTCCGGAGGCGCAGTCACTCGCTTGGCCGCGTGTGCCGACATGCCAAGAAAACGACTCCGTATCCACCGCGAGCTCGAAAGGCACACGCAGACTCTGCTCTTGAACGCACTTGCAGTTCAGGCTGGACCTTGCTTTCCGACTCGCTCTGTCGCTCTGACCGCTCGCTACAACGTCGTTCGATGCGGGTGCTTGCTCGGCTGGCTCGTGCAATTGTCCCTGCTGCTTGGCTCTGACAACGACGGCGACGATGATGACCAAGCTTTTGCCGCTCTTTCACGTGTTCGGCGCGCTCGTCCTGTGGACTGCAGCGGCCATCCATCTCCTCGTCCATCCTCTCGCCGTTCCTTCCGCCACGATCACTGTCGTTTTCACCACCTTGGGTGGGTTGCTGCTCGTACAAGAGCTTTCGAGTCCTTCGTCGCCATGGCACCGCTCTCGAGCACACCTGCTGAGCTCATTCATGGGCCGAGCACTCGGCTTCCTCTTCGCAACCGCCATCACATTCGACCAACTCACCGACGTCGCCTGCGACACGCGAGCCGGCGCTTCGCCCTACTCGACCTCCGCGGCCAAGTTCTCCGTCTCGGCGGGAGACGCCGCGCGCACCATGACCAACGGACAGAATCTCACCAAGCAGAAAGGACCTCCAGTGTATGGGACTGCCTTCTACCTCTGCCGCTCGCTCGCGCCTCAGTGTGTGCGAGTCGATGCGGTGCCTGGCCAGGTGGCGGGGAGCACGGCGTGGGTGCACGTGGGTGTCAATGCGACGAGCCGGACAATGGTGCTGGTCGTGTGCGCGTGGACACTGGCTGTTTCGGCGGTGTACTCTGTGCTGGCGCTGATGCACCGGTCTGGCCGAGGTGGTTCGGCGAGCACGGTGCGTGGTAGGGTTGGCAGTGGGGACGACGACGATCCGGTGTCGCTGCGCAGTGTCGAGGTGCGACCGGCGCGGTGCGACGTCAAGCCCGGCGCATCGTCTTCGTCCGCATACCGCGTCAACATGTACTCGAGTGCGCGCGGATGCCGCTGTATGCCTGTCGACCTGTACGCCGAGCAGCTCGACCAGCCCGCGACCCGCTGTCCTTCGGCCGACATCGCCTCTTCCACCACCCCGTCGCTGCGCGCGCTCCGCAGCACCACGATCGAAAGCGCACTCAACGCGGCCCAAGGCGCAGCGAGCACACCGGACCAAGTGTTCCGCATCGACAAGCTCAACGCGTCCGCGCCGTCCCTGCGCGCAGCCAGCGACATTGCGCCGCGCCACAGCGCCAAGCCGTTCCTCGATGCGCACTCGCTCGCCCCACCGCGCGACAGGTACGGCTACGACTACGGCTACGACCGCACGGTGGACTTTGCGTCGGGCTGCATCATGCACTATCCGCTATTTGCGAAAAAGAAGCCGCGCGAGCAGAGGGTAGTGCCGGTCGAGACGTACGCGACGCTGCTACCTCCGGATTTTGCGAGGGAGTCGATGGGGAGTGCGGTGGGGCTGGCGCCGCGCAGAGTGGGCAAGAGCCGCGCGAGTGTTGCTTCCAAGACGACCGAGCCGACGCGGCTCGACGAGGGACATGCGCCAGAGGGAGCGCGCGCAGTGACCACCGAGAGCGCGGTGCAGCTGTCCGAGGCTCCCAATCACCTCCCCGAACGCGATGCAAACGACGAAAAGCTGCAGTCCGTGGTCGTCGACACGTCCGCGGCGCTCCTCTCACCGAGCGCCGTCGACCGCTCGCCGAAGAAGAAGCCCAAACCACGCACGCCGAGGCACACGCGCAAGCTCGGCGACGCAGCAACGCGCCGTCTGGGCACCGCCGAGTCCAGCCGCTCCGTGCTCTCGACGCTCAGCACCCACGCGCCGTCGCGCCCGGGCACGGGCACCTCGACGAAATCCACCGGCTCGTTCCGCCTC